AACGTGTTCAAGGGATACTTTAAAGACCCGGAAAAGACGGAGGAAGTGGTGGATGACCAAGGATGGCATCATACCGGCGATATCGGGATGTGGATGCCAGTGAGTATACATTTAATGAGAACAGTTCTGAACACATGCGGAAGAATAAAAGTCGTAAGAATATTTTTGCCGCCCATACAGGGTGATTCAAAATTGGGGTCCTTCCTTTTAAGAGGCAGTTAAGGAAGAGTACTTTGAACCACCCTGTATTTTAATGGTGCCACATTTCAAATTATTCTCACCATCAACCTGATGTGTTTGTAGAATGGTACACTAAAAATCATCGACAGAAGGAAGCACATTTTCAAGTTATCCCAGGGCGAGTACATCGTCCCGGAAAAAATCGAGAACATCTACATACGGTCCCAATATGTGGCTCAAGTTTTCGTACATGGGGAATCCTTGAAAGTAAGTTTATTTTGCGACAAAAGACCTCTTGAAAAAAAACATTTCTCTTGTTTAGTCCTGCATTATAGCTGTAGTGGTGCCAGATGTAGATGTAATAAAATGCTGGGCACAAGAAAACGGCATCAGTGGCACCTTCAGCATTTTGTGCAACCATCCAGAGGTCAAGCAACTTATCATCGACGATATGGTGTCTTGGGGCAAGGAAAGCGGCTTAAAGTCGTTCGAACAGGTAAGAGCCACGATTCCCACGTAAACAAAGCTCTTATTCGTCATATTTGCAGGTGAAAGACATTTATCTGCATCCGGACCCATTCAGTGTGCAAAACGGCCTGTTAACGCCCACGTTGAAGAGCAAACGTCCTCAACTGAAGACGTACTTCAAACCGCAGCTAGACGACATGTACAGCCGACTCACTTAGGGCTTGTGCCTAATCAACAGCCCCTGATGCTGTTGAACGTTTTTCTTTAGTATAAGGCACTCCACTGTTCTTGCCAAACCGTCGAATCTCCCCAGTTTGGGAGCATTGAGTGAATACCAACCGATTAAGGAATATTTAGTTGTTGCATTTTTTAGATACGTATCGTGATCCCTAGTAAAAATTTTACATGATAACTGATATGGGTGATATTAAGCAGTTGTATGAACTGCGGGCTGCTTTCCGGCAGTCTTTTGTAGACCATTTTATAATGTTCAGAGACCAACTGCTGACTGTCGGTCGTTTTCTTGGACGAGCAATATTTTGCAAGTGATAGAAAATATCTCCCTGTGCACTTAAGTTTAATTTAACTTAACATACTTAGGATATTTGCTGAAATTGAGGTAATTACTCACCGTTCAGCCGTTAGTTAGTCCATTTTCAATCGTACAAAATTGAGATTTTAACTATTTTCTAGTTTACTGGAATCTTTTAGCTTTAACCAGCTTTATAACTCATAAATCTCTTCCGGTAAGCTCGAATAGCCAACCGTGTTGGAGCAATCATCGCGCCGTACGAGTGGCTTTACGAATTAAACGTTTCTTGTCCAGCAAACCGCAACATTGCAATAGCTAGAAAAGTAAATTAAGTTGGTGATGCCTTCGGCAACGCTTTAATAGCCTTGGATCAACCATTCGAATCAACAATTTGATATTTGCTTTTTCAGCACCCCTTTTTTCTAGATTAAATTGTTTTTGAATTATTTATTGTAACAGTTATTCTAGGTAATATAAATAAAACTAGAAAAACCTTGCTTTACTTGAATAACCAGGGTTTCCTAAAAGTCGCCGATGTTAACTTCGTACTCACAGCATCTGGACAAGCAAGTTTGAAGGCCGAAACAAAAATAATACAAAAATAGATATGTACCTATCAATTCTTTATTCACTTCTTCTTCGAAGAAACTTGTTGGGCTTTCAGCACCTTGACAACGATTTTTTGTTCCTCAATCAGGAACGCCCTGACGATCTTTTCCTTCACACACTTGTGGCACAGAACACCGCCGTACGCCCTCTTCACCGTCTTCTTGCGCCTGCACAATCGGGACCTTTCTTGGGGCCGGGCAGGTTGAATGCCTCTAAGTTTGTCTTTGCATTGGCCGCATCTGGGGATCTTCTTGGGCTTCTTTAGGTATTGATATACCAGCTTACCACCGGGAGTACGGACACTGCAAAACACATTTTGCTATCAATGGTCTGACCAATCGAACTGATGTGAAAAAGTTTACTGAAGTTTCAATCAGAAAGATTTGAACGAAATGGGATTGTCGTCAACTGTAATCAGGACTCTAGCCAGTGATTCATCATGTTTAGGGTCTTAGAATAATTGGTTTCGACTAGTGGGCAAAATAAATTAGTTGATATGCAGTTGAGGCGTTAATTATTGGAACAGATGCATCTAGGGCTAAATTTAAGCAGATTTAGGACCTTAAAAAGAGGTATGAGGCTTGATTTCAGAAATATAGCTTTAGCACTTAACATCAACGAATAAACACATGAACTGCGAAGTTACTAGCACAAAATTTAGGTGTTTGCTCTCAAGGAAATTCGTGAATGCTGTCTTTCTTTAAGCTTTGCAGGCTTGCTTTGTTCAAGCAAGTCCCTCTGAACGGGGGCTGAAAAAAGTGCCAGACTAAACATAACCTCATGAAATTCCTAGTCCCTCAAAACAACTCTTTTGCAATAAATAAAACCTCTTGAATCAGACTAGTATACATGAAAAGCAACTTACATGCGTCTCCTGTTACTTTTTGTGTTGTACGACAATCGTCGCCTGAAGACCAGCCGTTGAACCATTTCGGCCTAAAAATAAATAATCGTGAACAATTTGGTCGGGAAATATAACCACTACCAGAAGATGCACCTTTTCGGCAACCAATTAAAGAAAAACGTGAAAGTTTCTGCTTAAAATTGCCGAAGATGAATTAGGATAAAAAATACATGTACTAACCTGAGATGTAAAACTATGAAGAAAGTGATTTGGATTTGACAGATGCCCAAGCCGTAACTATTCTAACCTGAAATTTGGAGGCAGTGTTGTCAGTGATTCGGATTGTTCATGATTATGATTTCAAAAAATACTGTTAGCATATGCATTTAAACCCTTTGTAAATTTTCTTGGTAAGTAAGCTCAAGCTGTGGTAAGAATAAAATCAGACCTTGGCCGCACTGAATGCGCAAAAATGAATTTACGGTAAACCGTTAATAACAACGTTGCAAGTACGTAACTTTTTAGTTCTTCTTCTTATATCCCGTCTTTCTCCTGCTTATCTTATTTTCATATTTCTGAACGTCTCTTCATATTTCTGAACTTCTCACGTCGAAAGGAACCGTTTGAGCTCAAAAAACACCCACGCGAAATTTGACCCTTGGTCGATTTTTTCAAAAAATTAAACTTTTATTTGTTCCTTTTCGGTAGATCGGCAGGTTCCTTGACAAATCGGTAGATCTACCGAAAAATCGGTAGATTTGGCATCTCTGTCGGTGTGGGGCCAACACTGACAGTGACGGAAGAAATATTGCCAAAAGAACGATAAACAATCCAAGAAATCATTGCCCCAGTTAGTGCTAAACCATTTAAACTGATTCAAATGATATGAAGCTGAAAATATATCGACCAGTTTCACATTCTTCAATCTAGCGCCCAGCATGACCAAGCATTTGCTCACAAGCCAAGCAGACTTATCTAATCAGTCTTGAAACATAGATTTGAGGGAAAATATGCCCAGCTAGAACCTATCCTAACATGGTTTCGCTTTTTGAGAACTACGAACAACAGTACTCGGCCTTAACTGCCGACATCACTGCCCAAATTGGACACCTCAGTGCCTCTGCTTCAAGTAAGCCAAACCTGATATGTTCCTCAAGCATTTTTCCAAACATTCCTAGAGCTTGAAGTAATAAATTGATTTTACTCTAGAAGATCGTCGTCAACTCATTTCGAACATCGAAAAACATGTGGAAGAGGCACAGGAATTGGTAAGTCCAGGGTATAACTCAGCTAAAGCACGATTTAGCACAAATCACACTGGCCCCCTGATTTTCGGCATGGAATAAAGCATAGTAATGCTGGGCAGTTTGTACTAGCATGCACACATACGAAACCTTGCCCCTAATGTTTCAGTTGGAGCAAATGGACTTGGAGGTGCGTGAGGTGGAGCCATCCAAGAAACAAAGATGCAGAACCAAGCTTGAATGTTACCGAGCCGAATTAAAGCGCTTGACACTGGAGTACATCAAGGCCAGGACCGTGAAGCAGGAGTCGTTGTATGATAGTGCCGAGGACATTGATGTCCGGATTTCCTTTGACCAAAAGCAGAAGCTCCTGGACAATTCCGAAACTCTAGAACGCGCTGGACGCAGGCTGAACGATGGCTATCGCGTTGTGGTGGAAACTGAGGAGATTGGCAACCAAGTGCTGAAGAATTTGGCTGAACAACGAGAGACTATTCAGCGATCGAGAAATCGGGTAACGTAAATTTACAGCGCGCGAAAATTTCTTTTATAGTGCTTAACTGTGATTTGTTTTAGCTGAGAGATACTGACCAAGAACTCAGCACTTCGTCTAGAATTCTAAACAGCATGCTGATGAGAGCAATGCAGCAGAAAGTGATTTTATATCTTGTCGCTGCCTGTTTCCTAATGTTCATCTGCTTTGGGCTCTACCTTAGTTTTAAGAGTTAAAGCACGTCTTTACTATTTATACATTAGATCAATTTGTTGCCATTATACCAAATAACTATTTTATGATACATAAGCAATATTCACGTTAACTGATTTATTTATATTGTGAGACTACGCGCGGGATGCAATTCTATACATTATTAATAATTTATTTTACTGTTTATTAAGTGCTTATAGTTTGTATGTATCTTTAAAAAGTCCTTGAAGCACTGAAGCCATCACATTCCGTTGTTTATTTGCTAGTATTTCTATATACCAGGTACTTTAAATCTGGGCCGAGTTTTATTTCCGACACATTGTTGCTGTATTGGTGGAGAACACTGTTGTATTTGCCAATTTATCAATCACTGTTCAGGCGCAACCACCAGATGGCAGCATGTATCATCAGTCAAATCTGACATTGCCTTATTGACTTTAGTGTTTGGATTGCCCAAAGTCAAATGTGTTTTTATCATCAGTTTTTCGGCAAAAAGTGGGTGAAAACTTGGTGAAACATGCCCGAACCGTGGGTGCCTCGTGCGGGAGAGGTGTTCTATCTGAACCAGTCTCAGGCGGCGGGATTAGTGCAAACAGGTGAGTCCGATTTGTTGATTTTTCGTCAAACATCTCCCACCCTCCGCTTAGGAGCGATGTCAGCTTATTGTCGTTCTATGTTTATGAACATTTATATTTGTATGTTGGAGCTTATTGTTTTCACAATATGTAGCTCATTTTTGTGGCGGTACTGATTTTTGGTGTGACTGTTCTTAAACAATGTGAGGAAATCTGGTCAGCTGTCAGTGCCATTTGTGAATCAGCTGATCTTAATGAGCTTTATTAATACCAATGGTATAGTTAAGTTAATAATTCTGATTTGCATGCGTACCATGTAAATATCTTAAAATAGAAACTGTTGCAAACACCAGATGCATTTCCAAGAAGGCCCATTAAAGTTGGGAGTATTTAGTCTAATTGGATCTGAATTCTATTTATATGTATTCAATTTTCATTTCTTGCCAGTTTGTTTATTTATTTTTTCAGGGAATTGGTCGACTAAATGTGTAGCGTCATAGTCATATAATAGAATACATAACATTGCCTGATGGGAATTATTAATTATTTTCAACTCGTCTCAGACAATTCCTACAACCAGCATTATAGAACTGTATTAATATACGCAAAGTTAATATTACCACCCATTCTAAAGCTTACATCTACACACATACCTATGTATAACAAATACAAAATTTTAGTCAAAACTTGACGATAATCGTTAAAAAACATAATTGAAATATTTTATTATTTGAGTAAAAAGAAGCGTCAATAAAAGTTGCTTGTTCGCTCTCTCCAAAGCATAACCCTCCGACGCCCCGAGACTCATTTTGCTTCCGAGAAACATGCAAAACGGGACGGAAAACATGAAATTTTGCAATAATCTTGCGCCATCCTTGCACAAAACGACGATCATTTTTCTAAGTTCATAAACAACAGAAGACTGCATTTTTTCTACATAACCCCCCCCTGACTTTAAAGCTGGATCCGCCCCTGATTGAGAGTATGTAGTAAGTTTTCTACAGGTTCACGTCCAGCTCTGCCCAAGACTATCGGAGGCTCAAATAGTTGTCTATTGAATCGGTTTAGAGTTTTAATGATCACTTCAGTGTTCATAAACAACAGTGGTAAAAGACGATAGGAACTTCTTCTCAATATCCATTTATATGCATAATAAATAAAATTTTCAATCATGAGTTAGATAAAAAGGCTTGTAACTGTATATATGCTGTGGTGCTTCCACCCACCCATTAAAGCCCATGAGTTATGATCGTCCGGGCGAAATCCGTTTCGTTTTATCATCTACCAAAACGCATAGACGAAATATGTTAAGTGGGTTTTTATTGTTATTACAGGCAACTGTTTGCTTGTATATGCGTATTTTAAATTGATGTAAATCCGCAGATATTAAGCTGGTTTCAATGAGAAACACGAACCACATCCATCAACGGTGATAATAACGCGGCAATTTTTAACGGACAAACACGTCCAGAGGACCCTTTTCTTTATTATTTATTTAAATGGGAATAATCATCAACCAACAATTCGTGGAAGAACGACATCAAGGATTAGGTAACATTTATGTGGCGGCGCCTTTACCTAACTAAGTCCACTAATTAAGTAGTTCTTCGCGGTTCTTGATTTATTGTGTGCGACTGGAGGTTGGTGTTCAATGCTGTTACTCATATGAGAACAGATCCTAATCATTTTACTAAAGAGTAAATGTGATTGAGTCGATATGCGATCAAAATATGTATTATTTGCCATGGCTAAAGTGCGAGTAGTAGACATAAGATCAGGCCCGTTGGCATCTAAGACAATACGGTGGTGGCCTACGATTGCGAGCAACAAAATGCTTTTCATCACTTTTATAGACTGTTGCTGTCTCCGCAAATATGCCATCTGCAATCTGCTAACGCAGTAGGTTTGCAACATTATAAGCGTCATTTTCTCAAAGGTTTCGCTTTAATGCGCCAAGATATTGACTACGGTACTTGCTAACAATGAGCGTAGGCCCCGAAAGAGCCACGCGTAGGACGATTGTATTTTGGTCGAAATGAGCCTAAAAATGATATTTTTCCATTCGATGAAAATAATGATAAATCATCGGACCAGATGGCTAGAATTCGCAACGTCGAAACTGGCCACAATATTATCGGTAACCATGAAGTGGCTTTCACGTCCAAAAATGGGCCGGGTTTTATGCAATTCTTCCATATGAGGATTAAAATCGAACACCGTTATTAAGGAGAATCGTTGGTAATATTATGCACTTTAGCCTTCGAGGGATACGTTTATCTTAAATGTATGGTGGTCTCCTGATGTGCACACTGTAATGGATTGATAAACTTACGTGATGGATGTGCCGGCTTTAAAAACGCATAAAAAACAAGCGAGCACAATTAAGACCTAAGAACCGAAAAATGTTAAACTTATCCCAAATAAGAACGCAAAGAAAGCGATTACTCAATTGCAGGCGAACATCGATGCAACGCAAGTAATTGACCGCGAAAAATCAAGTTTGCATTATTCTAAGAAAGCTAACGAATATGTATGAGTCCACATTACCATTCAGCAATTGTTAATGCAAATGTAAATGGCTCCGTTTACAAACAATTATCAGACGAAAATAATGACCGCTAAAGCCGCTGCGATTATAATATGGATGAGGCTTTTCGTATAATAATAATCCACTGGTAAAGACGGGTAGCTGAAGACTTCTTGTTTCACGCTGAAGATTTCTTGTTAATGTTGTCTTGACGGTTGAGCCGACCATCGAGAACAGTCGCGCATGCCGCAGAATAAGCAAGCGCCTTAAACATGGTTTAATTGTCTATTGTACCTACTATCGATCAGTCGATAGAGAATAACAGAACAGAGGGGTGAACATTTCTCAGGCACAAATTTGCCGGTTTTTAGGCATGTGAACTCAATCAAGTTTCAGGAGTTGGCACACAACCACCAGCAACTCACCATAAGAAAATTTTCGCAGGATTTCATAGAACTATTGCGGGACACATTTTGCATGGCGTTTTCCGTAAATAATTTGTTTGGATACGAAGAATACTCTACAAGTTCAGAGTTGTGTGTTCAGTAACAAAGAGTGCGCTCTAAATGTCGCTAAAATGATTTCGTCCACTGTCGGTAGCAAACTGAATATTGAAACTAATGGGTTTTTCGGGGTTTTAGGCCGTCGTTCAGTGCAATTTCTTCCTGACGTTTCGCAAGCACGAGTGGCTTGCATCTTCAGAAGTGGTTTGCTTGAACGCTTACACTGTTCTCATCAG